GTGTAGACATACCCTTTGTAACCATCTGTCTGGTTTAAGTGATTTGCCCAGCACCACACAAGAACTCTGTGGCACAGGCAGGCATAGGACTTAAGTTCCCCAGCGCAGCTTTCGACACAACCATGAGACCATCCTTTCTCTTCTTGCAATGCGCTGCCCAATTCACTATATACCTGATTGTTCTACAGCCTCCTCTAGAAGGCAACTGTTTAATCCCCAGAGCAGGTTGCATGTACAACCTTAATTCACCCTCCTTCTGAATAAGAATCAGTCTTTAACTACAGGGTTACGTACTATTTCCCCGCCCAGAACCTCTGCTTCATTCAGTGCACAGACTGGATGTTGTTTACTTTATGAGCAGCTATTCAATATTTTATTCTATTCATTGTTCAATGTGTGGTCCCGTGCCTTATTTACTGCACACTATTCAAACTCTTAATTTCCTCCTGGGCCTTCCCATGGTGCTCATTGCGAACAGTATCTGTGTTTCACATACAGTGATGAATACATGCCTGACTGCCTTAATTGCCTTCTATGATGAGATAACTGGCTCTGTGGATGAGGGGAAAGCAGTGGACGTGTTATTCCTTGACTTTAGGAAAGCTTTTGATACCGTCTCCCACAGTATTCTTGCCGGCAAGTTTAAGAAGTATGGGCTGGATGAATGGACTATAAGGTGACTAGAAAGCTGGCTAGATCGTTGGGCTCAATGGGTAGTGATCAATGGCTCCATGTCTAGTTGGCAGCCAGGATCAAGGGTCGGTCCTGGGGCCGGTTTTGTTCAATATCTTCATTAATGATCTGGAGGATGGCGTGGACTGCACCCTCAGCAAGTTTGCAGATGACACTAAACTGGGAGGAGTGGTAGATACGCTGGAGGGTAGGGATAGGATACAGAGGGCCCTAGACAAATTAGAGGATTGGGCCAAAAGAAATCTGATGAGGTTCAACAAGGACAAGTGCAGAGTCCTGCACTTAGGACGGAAGAATCCCATGCACTGCTTTAGACTAGGGACCGAATGGCTAGGCAGCAGTTCTGCAGAAAAGGACCTAGTGGTTACAGTGGACGAGAAGCTGGATATGCATCAACAGTTGCATAGGTTGCCCTTGTTGCCAAGAAGGCTAACAGCATTTTGGGCTGTATAAGTAGGGGCACTGCCAGTAGATCGAGGGACGTGATCATTCCCCTCTATTCGGCATTGGTGAGGCCTCATCTGGAATACTGTGTCCAGTTTTGGGCCCCACACTACAAGAAGGATGTGGAAAAATTGGAAAGAGTCCAGCGGAGGGCAACAAAAATGATTAGGGGGCTGGAGCACATGACTTATGAGGAGAGGCTGATGGAACTGGGATTGTTTAGTCTGCAGAAGAGAAGAATGAGGGGGGATTTGATAACTGCTTTCAACTACCTGAAAGGGGGTGCCAAAGAGGCTGGATCTAGACTGTTCTCAGTGGTACCAGATGACAGAACAAGGAGTTATGATCTCAAGTTGCAGTGAGGGAGGTTTAGGTTGGATATTAGGAAAAACTTTTTCACTAGGAGGGTGGTGAAGCACTGGAATGGGTTACCTAGGGAGTTGGTGGAATCTCCTTCCTTAGAGGTTTTTAAGGTCAGGCTTGACAAAGCCCTGTCTGGGATGATTTAGTTGGGGATTGGTCCTGCTTTGAGCAGGGGGTTGGACTAGATGACCTCCTGAGGTCCCTTCCAATCCTGATATTCTATGATTTATTATTTTCACAGCATCCCTGTGAGATGGAGGTGTTATCCTCATTTTGTAAATGGAGAACTAAGGCAGAGAGAAATTAAGGTAAAAAGTATCCACTAATTTTGGGTACCCTATGAGAGACCTCATTTTTCAGAGTACTTAGTGTTATTATACAGCACTTTATATGTTCAAAGAAGAAGCTCCCATTGACTTCAGTAGCAATTCAGTGCTCAGCACTAATAAGCTCCCGAGGTCTGATTTTTTTTCAGTCAGGCATCCAGAAAACAAGGGACACACAATTAGGGTATGTCTACATAGCAGTTAAACAGCCATGGCTGGCCTGAGTCAGTTGGCTGGGGCTCAGGCTTTGGGGCTGTAAAATTGTGATGTAGACATTTGAACAGTCCCACAGCTCTGGGCTCCAGCCCAAGCCTGAAAGTTTAACTGCAATTTTACAGCCCCACAAGTCTGAGTCTATTTACCTTCTGACTGTTCAACAGCCTCCTCTAGAACACAACCATTTAATCGCTAGAGCAGGTCCATTCTGTGCATTTAGTACCTTCTCTCAACTCCAATGCCTGGACCCACTACAGCCCAGGGCATCCAGAAATTGCAATTGCAGGGAAAATCATGCTTAGGGAAGATGGAATTTTCAGAAAATTGAACTGTTTTAGCAAGTCTCTACTGAGCATGTATGAATTGAGGGTTTTTTCGGTCTTATGTCTTGGTCAAATTTGGACAGATTTTTAAGGGCCAGGCAGAAGGCACATGCCTGACAAAAAGGCTACCCTCTACTAAATTTCAACTTCCTGCATGGGGGTGCTAAAGCTTCTGAAAGACAACAAATCCTGACAATCTTAATATCAGCAAAATATACCCTGCCCCAGCCTTGTTTTTGGAAATGGCTTAATTGTTTTGGCTGAAATTTTCCAAAAAGTTTAGCAGGGTTATAAAGCAACTGAAAATAGGGTCTTATAAAGCTTGTTTGACAATTCCCTTTATAAGGCAGTACAGCCTATAATTATGATGTCAATATATGTGTTAATTTCCTTCAGTAATAAAAGATCTATAATCAACACGTCATTTTGAACTGAAAGCTGGGGATGCTTGCAGTTTGAACAGCACTATCAACCCAGACCTTTTTGGTTTGTATTAGTTGCCTCTATTATTTTATAGCTTCATACCTCAACTGCATATTCCCTAAATGTAAGCTATTTTATAAGTTCCAATATATCACCAGTACACAACCTCACGCAAAATGTGCACAGAAGGGGCAATTGTACCTCTCTGATTCATGATGTACAGCCTGTAGTCTGAGCGTTAGAAATCACCCCTTCTTGACCCACGCCAGCCTCTGCTCTGATGAGAAATGGCTCAAGTAGTGTGAGTCATTCTCTAGCTTGGATTTATTGATCATCTGTGGAAATTGTAAACATTTCAATAAGCCATCTTTAATTTACTAGAACCAGAGAGTGCTTGTTTCTGCTTAAATAAATTATTCCTTTGATTTTAGGACATTCTTTCAATTATACTCCCATCTATTGCTGATTGTGCTAATAAAATCAAAGTGCAAATAAAATATGAGAAAACAGACAGCTTTTCTCTTGTAGGAAGATGGGCTTTTAGGAAGTCAGTATATGAATTGCAGCACTGTGACGTGACAAGGGCAGAGCTGTTAAAAGATTAAGAGAAGATACTGTAAAATTTGCATATTTAGTAAAAACTAGCTCTGTATGAGATCAGCTGAGGTGCTCATGCTCCCTGTTTAAATGCAAAGAGACGGACAGCAAGTGAGGTGCTCTCAGTGAGGGACCACAGGTTTTCAAATGCACTCTCTCTTTTGGCTTAGTGTCTAGGTTTTTAGTGATCTTTCTGGCATGCTGCAAGCCTCGCCTATTTTTTGGGAACAAAGATTAATTGGAATAATGTGGTGGCTAATAGGGTATAAGGAGAAACAGGAAAGTGGATCCATGCTTACTTGAAAACCAACTTTGAGTAACAGGTTCACAGAGCCAGCCTGCCCTTGGCAGAGTTTTCTGTTATAAATAGGGCTTGGCACTGGGATACATCAAACTGAGGAAGTGATTGTTTAAAAGTATGCTCCGCGGTAGGAGACAGCAGTAGTTATTCTTTCTTAAGTACAGTTTTTTTCTTAGATTATTAAATGAGATTTATCCTTGGCTATGGAAGTTGTCTTAACTGACAGACTCTTTGCGGGCAGGAGAGACCCCTACCTGCCAGCGACTGACTGTCTGGTTCTGCCCCTAAAGATGCAAGCAGGCTGAAGATCCACTGTAAAAATCTATGCATCTTATTCAAAGAAAGGAAATTTTCAGGTAAGCATGGGTGAATTATCAGTCCAAATAAATTTAAGTTGCATTGTCCTTTATATTGTAAATATATTGCAAGGGAGAAGGAAATATACAGTGTTGTGAAAACCTTCAAATAAACACACAAGAAATTAAAATCACTTACTTCAGACAATGATGGACTTTCAAGATCTGCCAGATGAATTTTCAAATGTTATATATGCTTAAAGAGAAAACAGTTAAGAGTCTAATATGCTAATTTTCCTTCAAACGCCTTTTTTATAATAATTGCATAGAATTTGCCATCCTCAAAGCAAAAAGGACAAAATGTAATCTCAGGAGAGTCCTTGAACCCTTATTCTGTGGAATTAAAATGAATATTTTGATCTGAAAGAGTCAAGGGGGGTGCATAATTACTACAGATTCTTCTGTGTGACTTCACCTAGGATGTTGTATAGTGTGCTGCTAGGAATAACAGTTGCCACAGGTTCCCATACACGTGCATACCAGGGAAAGGAGCTGATCACAGAGGTAAGGCACAACTGTGAAGTAGCAATTACAGTAAGAGTACAATTGGAAGAGCCTGAGTGTACCAGAGACCAGTTTAGTGTCTACATTTTACTCTTTTCAATGGACATCACAGAGGAAACAAACTGAAAAAAACCACAAATAGTGTTCTCAAAACAGTGAAAGGCAGGGCAGCCATGTGCAAAATTACCATACACACCCACTATTTGAAACTTAGGACATAACTAATTTCTCAGTTTCATTCACCAAAGAGGATGCAGTCCATTCTTTCCCATGCACACAATCTGTTTAGAAAGTACATAATTTATTAAATTGCACTTGTACATTAAGAAAATGTCATACAAAATGTAATTAAACAAATCATTTGTACATATAGAGTAAAGGTGTTTATAATTGCCAGTACATTGGTATATATTTCTTTAATACTACTTTGTCATGATTGCCATTAAGTAAAACAAAAACAAAAACCATACTATGCACAGTACATTTGTGTAATTTTACATTGATGAAGGTAGGCTTCATTCTACATTTGAAATCATATTATTTTGCAGACTCTCACTGTATTTACTGTGAAGGAGCCACAATTCAGCTTTTTTTCCCTCTTGTACAAATAGAATGGAAAATGTTTATGCAAATTACACAAGTCTAGCTGTGCGCTATAGACTTTAATGCTCCAATACCGTGTTCCTCTGACAGATTTTCCAATTCTTAAGTGATGTGAATGAACAAAGTATATTTTTTAAATATTTTCTAGATCCACCAGGGAGGCAGCTTTTTTCCTCTGCACAGTAATCACATTGAGCTGCAATTAAAAACAAACAGTCAATAGTTTCACTATTCCATGGAAATCTCAATAAGCAAAATGCCAGGGAGGAGATGGAATAAACACAGATAACTGAGATTTTGCATACTTGAAAGAATTCTCAATACATACCCATGGCTGTGACCCTATTTCACATACAAAAGAGTTTTGAATGATTGAGGTTTGGGTAATAGAGGTTGTGCTGGACTAAAATAAAATGCATGAAACATGTAGAATTCAAATTATTTTAAAATAATGCAATGTCTGTCTAAAGGACTGCATTTTAGTGGTGATTTTTCAGTGTTGCACTCCTCTTGTATAGGTATTAGACTATTAAGTAAAAGCCAATCACTAGCTATTTAATAGAAATATTACATTTTATAGATAGTATCTTTCATCCCGAAACTGCTACACATGCTACTTCTTATACATACTGCATCACTGAAATGCAAACCTTTGAGGTAGAGGGCAACAGCTAAGGGAACAAGTGGCACATAGCAAATTGCACAACCATAGACAGATGAAATTTGGGTCACAGTTACACAGGCAAATGCCTACTCCAAACTCCTATCTTAAGAAAAGGTATGTGGGATCTTTAATGTTGAAACAGGGTGGACAGGACATATTAAACATTTGCAACATTTGTATGCAGGACATAATTTGCAGTGGGGCTGTTTGAGTTTCAAGTTTTGAGTTTTCTTTCTTCCTGACACTCACTGCAAAGGTGAAACAAGCAAAACTACGTATTTTCCATGTTGTTCATTTCTGCTTATTATCCCTGTCTGTCAGACTGCACTTCTCCTAATATCCTTAGACCTAACAAATCTAGCTATTTTCCATCCACTGCTTTCCCACTAATAAGCACTAATGCACTCCAGAGGGTTGCACTCCAGACAATCTTAGAGGGAGTAACATTCAAGACTACAGAAGTGTAGTAAACAGTTCAATTTGGGAGCACAATGCTAATGAGGAAGGGATAGTATAACTGTTCCATGTGCAGGATTGTTTTCCTGCTAACTGTTTACAGCTCTGTAATTTTTGCCTTGTGATTCTAATGTAGTTAATGTTATTACTGGAAGGGAGGTGTGTGTATGGAGGGCATTCTGGTGCTGGATCAACATCAAACTCTTAAGCTGTAAAATTGCCCTCCTGACTTTGTAATTTATGTCCAAAATGTATCATGATTGCTTCTTGGAGCAGCTTGTCCTGGACCCAGCAAGGACAGAGGCAATTCTTGATTTAGTCCTAAGTGGAGCACAGAATCTAGTCC